GTTGGGTGTTGTGGCTCTGGGGACTGAGTTGTAAAGGCTGAGGCCTAGGTCCCTGTGCAGAGCTAATAACCCACACTGCAGAAACCATTTTCTTCTCAAAGCAACTTTAGTCCAGGGGAAAGCAATTGCCCTACCAGCTGGAAATCCTCTTACCCTGAGCCCCCACTCCCCCAGGGATTTTTCATTCAGTGGAGGGCTACAACCTGAGGCTCATTAAGTAACCAAGACTAATGGTCAGTCTGCAGGCAAAAGCTCTGGGATAATTGACTTTTTGCATGGCCTGAGACTCTACCCAGGAAAGTAAGACTAGACATTGGTGTTTCATGTGATTCCCTCCATACTTATCCAAACCCAGAAAAGGGAGCCACAGTCAGTAGCACACCAACACTCACAGAGAAAATTTGATGGGCTCAAAACCCTCTGAGACAGCAAAAATGGTGAAACAAAGAAACAAACCTCAAATGAAAAAACAATAGAATTCTACAGAAGGGATAAATAAAATGGAGTTAAGCAAGTTATCAGAGGTAGAGTTCAGAGTAATGATTATGAGGAAGCTCAATAGCATGAGTAAAGATATAGAAACGATGAAAATCAACCAATTGGAAATGAAAAACCACTAAGGGTAATGAAGAATGGCATAGAAGAAATAAAGAACACATTGGGTGGAATAACCAGCAGATTAGAAGAAGCTGAGGATTGGATCAGTGAATTAGAAGACAGGGTAGAAAAAAAATCACCCAATCAGAGAACCAAAAAGAAAAAAACAATTAAAAAACAGGAGGATAGTTTAAAAGAACTATTGGACAACATGAAATGTAACAACATCTACATTTTAGGATTACCAGAAGAAGAAAATGAGCAACATTTAGAGAATATATTTGAAGAAATAGTGGCAAAAAACTTCCCTAACTTGGTCAAGGAAAAAGGCATATAAATTCAGGAAGCACAGAGAGCCTCAAGTAAGAAGAACCCAAAGAAGCCCACAGCAAGACACATCATAATTACAATGCGAAATATTAAAGACAAATAGACAGTCTTAAAGGCAGCAAGAGAAAAGCAACAGGTTAGCTACAAAGGAGCCCCCATAAGGCTATCAGCTGATTTCTAAACAGAAACACTATAGGCAAAAAGGGAATGGCATGAGATATTCAAGGTAATGAAAAACAAGGATCTTAATTCAAGAATACTTTATCCAGCAAGGCTATCATTCAAAATAGAAGGTGAAATAAAGATCTTCCCAGATAAAAAAGCAGGAAGTGAAACTGTCATTATTCACAGATGACATGATATTTTACATAGAAAACCCTAAAGACACCATCAAAATATCTATTAGATTTATAAACCAAACAACTTATATGCATCTATACATAACCATATATGGACATAGACAACAATGCTTGAGGGTGGGGGGGGATAGGAAAGAAGTGTCTGCAGAGAAAGAGGAGAAACATCAGTAACAAAAATAAATAAATTAATAATAAATAAATAAATAAATAAATAATCTATTAGATTTAATAAATGAATTTGGCCAAGTAGCAGGATACAAAATTAACATCCAGAAATTGATGGCATTCTTACACCAATAATGAACATGCAGAAAGGGAAACAATCCCATTTACCATTGCAACAACAACAAAAATTCTAGGAATAAACTTAACCAAGGTGGTAAAGGACCTGTTCTCAGAAAACTACAGGACATTGAAAAAAGAAATATAGGAAGATATAAAAAAGTGGAAATATATATCATGTTCATGGATTGGAAAAATCAACAGCATTAAAATGTCCATACTATCCAAAGCAATCTACAGAGTCAGTGCAATCCCTATTAAAGTACCAATGTCATATTTCACAGAACTAGAAAAAATACTCCAAAAATTTATATGGAATCATAAAAGACCCTGAATAGCCACAGCAATCTTCAAAAAGAAGATCAAAGTGGGGGGGGGGGGGAGTCACAATACCAGATATCAAATTATACTACAAAGCCATTGTAATCAAAACAGCGTGATACTGGCACAAGAACAGGCATATAGATCAATGGAACAGAACAGAGAACCCAGATATTGACCCAAGTCATAATGCACAATTAATATTTGACAAAGGAGCTGAGAGCATATGGTGGAAAAAAGACAGGTTCTTCAATAAAGGGTGTTGGGAAAATTGGACAGCTACATGCAAAAAATGAAACTAGACCACCAACTTACACCATACACAAGATTAAACTCAAAATGGATAAAAGACTTAAATGTAATCCATGAAACCATAAATATTCTAGAAGAAAACTTAGACCGAAAAATCTCAGACATCATACATAGTTGAATTTTCACTGATACATTGCCTAGGGCAAGAGAAACAAAGGAAACAATTAATAAATGGGACTACATGAAACTAAAAAGCATTTGCACAGCAAAAGAAACCAGCATCAAATGGAAAAGGGAGCCCACTCTCTGGGAGAACAGATTTTCCAATGATACATCAGATAAGGAGTTACTTTCCAAAACATATAGAGTACTCATACAACTCAACCAAAGGAAGACAAAGAATCCAATAATAAATGGACCTGAATAGACACTTCTCCAAACAGGACATACAAATGGCCAGGAGACATATGGAAAAATGCTCAACATCACCAATCATCAGAGAGATACAAATTAAAACAACTGTGTGGTATCACCTCACACCTGCCAGAATGGGAGCAATCAACAAATCTTCAAATAACAAGTGCTGGCGGGGGTGTGGAGAAAAGGGGACTCTAGTACACTGCTGCTGGGAATGCAGACTGGTGCAGCCACTATGGAAAACAATATGGTGTTTCCTCAAAAAATTAAAAATAAAACCACCATTTGACCCAGTGATTCCACTTCTTGGAATATATCCTAAGAAGCCCGAAACACCAATCAGGAAGAATATGTGCTCCCCTATGTTCATAGCAGCACTATTTATAATAGCTAAGATCTAGAAACTGCCCAAGTGTCCATCATTAGATGAGTGGATAAAAAAGCCATTGTACATTTATACAATGCAATAATATGCAGCTGTAAGAAAGATTTCTTACCTTTTGAGATGACATGGAGGGACCTGGAGAGTATTGTGCTAAGCAAAATAAGCCAGTCAGAGAAAGACAAATACCACATGATCTCACTTATTTATGGAACATAATAAACAAAATAAGCTGTCGACCAAAAGAAATTCAGAGTCATGGAAGTAGGGAATAGACTAACAAACCTCAGAGGGATGAGGGGTGGGAGGGGTGGGAAGAAATAAACCAAAGCACTTCTATGCATATATGCACAACCAATGGACACAGACATTAGGTTGACTAAAGCAGGAAGGGAGTTGGATGGGAAGGGGGGGTCAATTGGGAGAAACGGGGAACACCTTTAATACTTTCAGTAATAAAACTAATTAATTAATTAAATTTAAAAAAATTCAGGAATGTATAAAAAGCATAGTATATCATGACCAGGTTTCTTGCAGGAATGAAAAAAACAATGTTATTAATCACTTAACAAAATTAACAAGAAAAACTATACAAGTATCTTTATAGATTTAGAAAAAGTAGTAAATAAAATGTAACACCTGTTTATGATTCAAATAATTAAGAAACCTGGAGTAAGAAAGGAACTTTCTTAAACTGATGAAACTAGTATATGCGTTTTAGAAACTCTATGGTATACATCACTCCCACAAGGAAATGTTAAAACTATCCTGATTTCAGAAGCAACATGAGGATGGTCATTGCCAGTACTTCTAAGGACCAATCTACTTGACCCACTAGTATAAAAAACAACAAAACAAAACAAAACACTATTTTAAGAATTGGACAAACGGACAGAATATTTGAAGGAGCACTTCAATATAATGTTATCCAAATGGTCAAAAACAAGAAAATGTGCTCAACCTAATATATCATCAGGAAAATGAAAATTGAAATCACAATGTGACCCTATTATATACCTCTCAGAAAAATAAAAATGAAACAAGATAAAACAGAATATTCCAAATTGTTGGCAAAGTTAGGTAGCAGGTGATCTCTAATACACCGGAGGTGGGAATGTAAATTAGAATAACTTCTTTAAAAGATTATTTGCCTATACCTCCTAAAGTAGAACATATCATATCTTGTCCCAGAAATTTCAGTCCTAGATATTACCCAGCAGAAATATATGTAAGTTCATTGAAGACATGCATGAGAATGTTCATAACAATACTTTTTATAACGACCAAAAATAAGAAACTATCCAAATTCCAATTAATGGTAAAATAAATAAATGAAAATGGTGATATTTTTATAGAATTGAATAATACAGGGTGGGGCAAAAGTAGGTTTATAGTTTTTTGTATAGAAAATAATACAATAATCAATAAATAATAATGCAGGAACAAATTATGTTTTGCATACTCACAACTGTAAACCTACTTTTGCCATGCCCTGTATACAGGAATAAGAATGAACAAACTACAAGTATATGCAAAACATGGATGTATCTCATAACAAAATGCCGAATAAAAGAAGCCAGACACAAAAAAATAAACACTAAGTAAGATTCTACTTATATAGAGTTGAAAGACACAAAACGAACCTATAGTGATTAACGATCAAGATAGTGGTTCCCATCAGCCAGTCAAGATACTCTTTGGGTGCTAGTAACATGGTTTTATTGTGGTTGCATTGGTATAGTCCAAATCTGAAAACTCATTGAACTATATATAATTATGATTTGTATATTTTTCAGTGTATATGACACACCAGTGAAAAGTTAACTAAAAACAAACAAAAGCAATCTCAACAACTGCACATCCAAGCTTCAGACAAAGTCAGTTATATCATTTCATTAGAGTGCATTACTCTAATTAAAATAAGACATTATGGTTTTATCTCATGTAATCTGAGGTCAAAGAATGATATCACTCTGTAATGGTACACTTTTACGAGAACCCCCAAAATCTTTTTGTGTCTCTTCATAGGAGGCTAATTCTGTGTACATGTCTAATTGCAGATATAAATGAGTGTGCCGTCGACAATGGTGGCTGCCAGGACCAGTGCTGTAATACAATTGGCAGTTATTACTGCAGGTGTCAAGCTGGCCGGAAGCTGGGGGAAGATGGCCGAGGATGTGAAGGTAACAATGAGGACTGTCTGCTTACTGATAAGGAAAGAGAGGACATCTCTGTAAGGCAAAAAGGAGGGTTTGTCTTTTATCCAGAGCCAGTTGAAGTGCCTGTGTGGAATGTTTCAAGAGATCTTCCTCTCATGCCTAGATTACAAAATTGTAACCCTAAGAACACTTGAAGTAGCTTATTATAGGAAACATATGATTATACACTGGTTTGTCATGTTCTGATTGTGGAATTTCAGTCCTTCATTTAAATCCCCGAGAAGTATTTAAATACATATTTTTGAAAGTATTTCATTTAATTCTACAGTAAAAATGGTGCTTATCATAAAATACTCATATGTTGCTACAATAGAAATGGAGGGCACAGAGCTAACCACAGATATTGTATTCTTGGTGTAGACTTAGCTTTTTCCCATAAACTTCGATTTTCTGTCTCCTTTTAAAATTAATTCATTCCATCCCTTATTTATTAATTCATCATTTTGTTCATTTGACAGTCATTGAGTTTCTGCTGTGCATCAGGCATTATTATTCCATGCTCTGGGATGTAAAAATTAATGAGAAATAAATTCTTCCCTGAAGGAGTTCACTGATTAGCAACAATGAAGACGGAAACATAAGCCGAGACCTAACAGAATGCTATTGTAAGACATTAGGACATCGGATAAATCCAGTGGATTCCAGAAGGCCTGGGTTTGAGTCTCAGCTCTGCCCCTTCCAACTCATGTAACTTTGGGCATGTTATTTAATTTTTCTAAAACTCTTTCCTCATTTGTAACATTTAGGATAATGGTAGTTCCTAAAACCCCAAGAGTTGCTCTGGGAATTAAATAAGATAATGGATCTAAAACACTTTCCCACAGTGGTGGCACATGGTGGGCGTTCGTATGATAACTGTGGATGGTACTCTCATTTAGATTGCTTCCTTCTCTTGTTCGTAAAAAGAGGAGATGGGGTACAAAAAAGGATCCCCTGAACCTTTCTACCTTTTTTTCTTTTTTTTTATCCTGACACAAGGACTTTTTTTTTTTTTTTTTTGCATTTATCTTCAGATAGAGAGGAGGGAGAGAAGGAGAAAGAGAGAGACAGAAACATTGAGGTGAGAGAGACACATCGACTGGTCACCACCCACATGACCCTAACCAGGCGGGGACTACTGCACCTGAGGTATACACCCTTAGCGGGAACCGAACCCAGGACTCTCTGTGCCACGGACCAACGCTCTAACCGCTGAGCAAAACGGGCCAGGGCCTAACTTTTTTTTAAATATTTTTTTTCTTTATTGATTTTAGAGAGAGAGGAGGGGGAGAGGGAGAGAGATAGAAACATCAATGAGAGAGAGCATTTATTGGCCGCCTCCTGCATGCCCCCCACTGAGGATCAGGCCCCCAACCTGAGCATGTGTCTTGACTGGGAATTAAACTGGCGACCTCCTGATGCATGGGTCAATGCTCAACCACTGAGCCACATTGGCCAGGCCTTTCTAACATTTTTCCTATCCATACTATCAAAATGCTTGAGTATTTTATTAGGTCACTTAGAAAGTCATTTATTCTAACTTTGGTCTCCTGTTGACCTTACAAAATCATACTCATTTCTTGACCTGACAATGTCTGTTCCTGATGCAGCATAAGTGAGGAAGCTGGTAGGCAAAAACAAAACAAAGAAAAGACATCAGCCGAAGGCAGCTAGGGCTGGGCTGTGGGTTTGAAGGGGACTGTCAAGACAAGATGAGCTGTAGACGTGAGTAGGCCGGAGAGTTGAGCAGTTTCTCAGGAAGGGGTGAGTTCAGTCCTTCTGCAGGCAGTCACAATAAGGGTTCCAGGTAGGCAGCCAGATGTTCCAATGCAGCTGCATCTGGGCCTTTCTGAGACAGGCTTTACCACATGCAAGGTCCTCTGCCAGGAAGGGTATACATTTATAGAGGCAAGCCCTGAATTCACTCAGGTACTTTTCTTCTAAAGTAAGATCATCTTTATTTCTGATAAGATTGTTTGGTAATGGCGTTTCCAGTATTGATTCAGCATCAGAGAACGAGAGGAGTCAAGGACCCCACAGTGTCCAAATGAAAGGTAGGGCAATGACCACTGAAGCATGGTCTATATGATAAGAATCTTCTTTGTCATTGTGACCCCTGCCTTCCCTGACAGGCAGCATTCTCTTCAGTTCCTTTTGGCTGAGTATCATTATCATCCTCATTATCGTTATTATAGATATATTTGAAGAGTTCAGCATAGCAATTAGCCACTGTTAGATATGACAATCATTATTTTTTATAATAGTTATTAGGTTGATAAGGCATGATGAACTTTATACCCACTGATTCATTTACGTGGAATTACATCATGTTTTATTGAAGTCAGTCACTCTTCAAATAAATGTCAAACTGTTAGAGAAGTGATTTCTGTGGTCTTATTTAACTGATGTTTATTTGTACAAAATGAATACATGTAAGGTCAGTATTTGTGAGAATCAAGAGTCTGATACGGAGTTAACATTTACGTCTTAGTTACCGAGATGCAGAACTGGGGATGGTGGTACATAGTGGAGCAACTCACCAGTGAAGAACCACCTGTCAGCCTCATACTCAGCCTCCTTCGCTTTTCATAGCTTTAAATTACTATTTGGCAGACGTGATGATGCTAGAGATTCAGTGTACTTGGTTGTTGAACATACAATGATCTCAGATTTTGAAATTGAGTGTGTTCTAAAGCCACTGCAAATGAGCATTTCAGTTCATGTGAGTACACTAATGAGTCATTCATATTTATTTACTGGATGTTCACGGTAAAGGTCAATTGGTTTCAAAGGCCATTGTGTTGAGTACTACAGACATAGAATTAAACAGTCGTTTGAACAGACTTTTTCTTTGCATTAGTATAGATTGAATTTAACCTGCTTGAATTGCTTTATAAAATACAGATCAACATTTTAGTAGATATTTGTTGTACCATTAAAATAAATCTAGAGTCTACCCTTCAGTGGAATTAAAACATTTGTAAATGCTCTTGTTAGCTAACCTGATTCTTTAACCTTTTCTCGAAAGAGCTATACATTTGTGGAGAAGGCTTCTTGATTAGCTAAGTTTACATGATTATCCCCTTCTCCAAGGCATAACACTGACCCTAAATCATGGGGTTTAATTCACATTGCAGATAGATTATATTTTACAATTTTTCTTTATTGATTTGAGAGAGAGAAAGAAAGGGAGAGGAAGAGAGATAAAAACATCAATGAGAGAGAACATTGATTGGCCACCTCCTGCATGCCCCCTACTGGGGATCAGGCCTACAACCTGGGCATGTGCCCTGATGGGGAATCGAACCGGCAACCTCTTGGTGCATGGGTCGATGCTCAACCACTGAGCCACACCGGCCAGGCTGCAGATAGATTATTATAGGGTATAAATTAAAAGGGAAAATAAAGAAGAAAAAGAACTGCCTACCAATGGACACTGTGGGGAAATATATATATATATATATATATATATATATATATATATATATATATATTCAGTTGGAAAAATCCAACTGAATTTTATTGGCTATTAAATTCAATTTTCCTTTTTGTTTTGTTTAGGACTTTTACCTCTATAACCACGAGTGAAACAGGCCAGTAATTTGCCTTTATCGTCTGATTTTGCTGGCAGTGGCTCTCGACTAGGGCGGTTTTGTCTCGCAAAGACATCACAGCTGAGAGGAGTACTAGTGCCCAGAGGATGCTGAGCTTCCTCTTCTGTTCCCTGCTCTACAGGTGTGAGGCCTCCTATTCTACCTCACATGCTGCTTTTATATATTCTGTTTCCTTTCCTTTCTTTACTGCAGATGCTCAGCCAGTCTATAGAGTTTCAAATAGTAACAATTTAACTTTACATTTTTAGAAGGCTCGTATTTCTCAAATCTGTATGTAGTTCCTGTCTGCTGTAAACTCATTTTGATAATTGTATCCTTTTCTTTTACCATTTCGCACATAGCTGTTTTGTATTCTGCATCTGATTCCAAAATCTATGGTTCTTGTGGGGGAATCTAAATCTAATGTTTCTTATTTCTAGGCTATTAGACCTTATACTCTCCTTCCTTTGATGTTGTGTATACCTCTAGTATAGAACATCTCACAGAGCACTGTACTTATTTACACATTTGTACTATCTTTTAGGTTGGGAATATCTCCTGGGAAAGGGTTATGTATTACCCGTTTTTCAATCCCAGCTCACAGGTGTTTAATACCTAGCAGAATTCCATAAATACTATTGAATGAATGAATGAACAGATGGATGGATACACATTGATTCAAATATAAATGCATATACGCATATAGTTAGTACCCTTTTATTTATTTCCTTGTCTACAGATTCTAACAATATTGCATGTATTATTTAAAGTCTGGCTAATTAAGCCATTGATTATCAGTAGGTCTTTGTGTAAATATTTTCTGGTAGCAAGTCTGTTTTATTTGAAAAGATAAATCACTTTTTTTTTTTTCTTTCTAGAGGGCAAGTCAGAGGGGTTTTTTTTTGTTTGTATTTTGTTTCTTTAGCTTAGATCAAACTTTCTGAAGTGTCTGCTGTGGCTTGTCTAAATTATCAGTGGAGCAGCATAACCACTGTGACTTTCGGAGAATGTAGTCCCATAGACTCAAGGAATTGTTCTAAATAAAGTGGTAACTAACATTACTGTGTTTAATTAAGTGAAGAGACAAAGATAATGAACATTGATTGAATATTTTAGATATAGCCTTCCATTTGGGAGAAATAAATGAACATAAAGGTATGTTGCTCAATAAATTGACCTTTAAAATATTTAACAGCTCTGGCTGGTGTGACTCAGTTGGTTGAATGTTGTCCTGTGCATGGAAAGGTTATAGGTTAGATTCCTGGTTGGGGCACATTCCCAGGTAGTGGGCTTGATTCCTTGTCAAAATGCATGTGGGGAAGTGGCCAATTGATATCTCTCTCTCTCTCTCTCCCCCCCCCCTTCTCTCTCTCTAAAAAACCAATAGAAACATATTTTTAAAAAAGTATATAACATTAACTTTGATAATTTTTTCAGCCAAATATTTTCCTGAAACACATTAGATATTGTAATGTGAATAAAGAGAGTATGTAACTCAGTACACCATTATCATGGAATTATAGAATTTTTAGAAAAGCAGGCTTCTGTAGATTTCCCAAGGAAATTAAACAAGCTCAAAGTGATCATTGATAGGCAAAGTGACACTGGAAGCCAGGCTTTCTTATTCTCCCTCAATGAGCCTGCCAGGCAGAATGAACTGGTCACTAAGCAGGTAAATCAGAAGGATGGAGTCACAGAGCTACACGGGCCAAGGGACCTTCAATTCATAGAGGCTGCAGTCGGTCCACAGAGGAGGGAACGTAAGACCTGGAGAAACTGTCTGATTTTCTCCATGTCCCAGACAATTTATTTATAGAGCTAGGAATGGAATCCAGTTTTTCTTTTCCCAGTTGCCATTCTTCCCAACTGACTAATCAATCTGGTCAGTAAACATTTATTGGATAACTACCATGTGCTAGCACTGTGTTGGGTGATTTGAGAATACCAGAGTGGTACAGAAAGAACATGGTTTCTTTTGTCACTGGGTTTCAGTATCATTAAACATCCTGGATATAAAATGAGTGTGTGCTATTTTAAATGAAAGTACAAGTAATTATATTTTATGCTTTGAGAACTCACCCAGGCCAGCTTCTTGCCTCCAAGCAACAGTGTTTCTAAACCAGCTGGTTGTTTATCCTGGTATTACAGATCTCCAGGGGAGGGTTCCCTAACTCCTTTCCACAGTCTGTTTAATAACCCTTGCTAGCACAACAACCTTCCTTAGGTGGTATATATATTGCTCCTGCTGAAGTTTAAGCCTTTTTTATTTTATTTTCTTCTCAGTTCAGAAAGACTTACCTCGTCAGAATCCTCCTTTATAGTAATTCTCCCCACACGTACAGCACTCCACTGTGTCCCTCCTCAACTTAAAAAACAAACAAAAGAAAAAACACCTTATGCCAAGTACTGGAGTCTTGGAAAAAAAGTATATCTGCCTGTCTGTATGTTTACCTACCTACCTAGCTAGCTATATATTCATCTATCTACATACATAAATACATACATATTCAGGTTTGACTTCATAAAATTCACTTGCAGAAATAATTATTATGGATTTTTCTATTTCTGTGTGTTGTGTCTCGTAGTATTTATTATGCCTCCTGAACCTCCGCCAGCTATAGGGAGCATGTAGAGGTAGTAGTAGTTTCTTAGCCTCCAGGAGCTCACAGTCTATTGGGGTGATATATAAATGGGAAACAATTTGAGAAAATTCCCATACTGTTTATCTTCATATACTAAAGAAAAAGTTATTCTTTTAAAATTTTTCAAGACATATTAAGAATACGGAATTCATTTTGTTAAAAAGCACCACTTAAAATTCTTGGGACTTACCTTAGTTGACACATCAATGTATGCACAGTGTTCTTTCTTCTCATCTCTCCATCCATCCATTCACCAAACACGTGTTAGACCCCCAGACACCGTGGGCTACGTTGAACAAAGAGCACACACTTTGGATTTTAATATTGACTCTGATATTTACTAACTGTGAAGCTTAGGCCAAGTTACTTCGTATCTGTGGGCTTTCCCAACCTCCTTTCCCCCACTTTATAGCCACAGGAAGAGGGATGTTCATTAGTGTACAATCCTGACACCTCTTTGCCCTCTCACTCACTCCCTTCTTCCCAGGGGACTTGGAACAAATTACTTCATTGGCAAGTTTGGGAAAGAGATGTGGAATTCAGCCTACCTTCCTTGCTTCTCTTCAGATCCTGTAAATGCCTGCAGAAAGGGTCCATTCGGGTCTGTTCTGCTGTGTGTACGCTTAACCAGGGCAAGACCCCACCTGCGGGAGGCAGGTTCCCCAGCCACCCCTGTGGTTTTGCCTAAATCCGCATACAATTTGAGGAAGCCCCTTATTGCTGCCGCCTGTTAATCCCTTCCCCCAGTTCTAACTGTAACAAAAATAAAGCCAATATTTTGTCTCCATCTGCCTATTTGGGATCGAATCTCGATGAATTCCAAAGTCAGGCAGGGAACACAGACTAGTTATTGCACCCTCCCATGTACTAACACCTTGCATTTGCCTAATACATCATATGTACTCAGGAAGTGTTTCTTTTTTTCTCATTTTAAGAAATGTCCTCCTATACAATATGTTGTTGAAGATAAAAATATGTGTAAGGTTATCTTTCCGTCTCCAGGCAGCTTCCAGCTCAATAGAGGAGATAAGGTGGGGACACGGACAGCCTCCGTATAAGGAGGTACACGTGAGTCAACACAGGCACAAGCGAAGCGCTGTGGGAATTACCCAGAGCAAAGGAACGCACTGTGGAATCACAATGGGCTGCAAGGAACAGGGACAAACACTCATCATTCAGTCCTGGGACCCAACCGTCGTCCCCCCGCCCCCAACTTCCTTAATTTTCTTAAACACTTCCCTGTGGGAACAGTGCCTCATACCCTTGCTGCTGGCACCCGTCTTGCTTGGCACCAGAAGGCATCTGGGAGTTTAATGACAAAGCTGCTGCGGCCATGCCCAGTATGGTTCTTTGTGGAAACTCGGACAGTGTTCTTAAGTGTCTGTGCCTTTTAGGCTGGAGAAAAGACATATTTTTCAAATCAGAAACGCTGCTACCAAAGTGGAAATCCACTTTATCTCTTTATCTCATCCTTTAATAAAGTGTAAATAAAGCCCATCATTTCCCCCCGATAATTCAGAGTGATCATTTCACCATCTCAGCTTTCAGCTAACGCGTGTTATAGTCAGAAGTGTGTTTGGAAGGGAGGCGAGCTGGAAGAGACCATTGCTGATATAAATGCTCCAAGATTAGCTGGTACACTTTCCAGATTTCATCAGGGACATACAGATTTATGGCAGTTATGGCTTCTATAGGTGGTGACAGAAGAAGGAGCCTAGAAAAAAGAGGTCCCAGAAGACTGTGGCTGAAAAACAAGACATTTCTCACAGGGGCCTGTTCTTTGGAATAAGCCAGGACAAAAATTAACCGCAGGCAAACCTGCTGCCTCAGTGGGCCCCACTTGCAGAAATAATGACACAGAAGCAGCCAATCAGGACTCGTGGCCGTGTGGACATGTCTGGGAATGGTGGGCAGCCAGGGAGCTTCTTCAAAAGTCTGGAACATGGTCCTTGAATTTTACCGTATGTCAGGAAGTATAACATACGTTTTATTCACAATTATTTTTAGTTTTCTCTAGTCAGTCATCTTAAATATGAGCTGATCATTTTGAAAGATTATGTTGCTATATTTTTTATTTTTCCCCCAGGAAAATTTCCCAACTGTAGTACCCTGCTGGAGTACCTCAGATTTGTGTTTTTCCTCTAGATTTTTAGGTTATGGATCATACCTCCTAAAGGATCTGTATGCTCCTATATTCCAAAGAATAATCTTTTTAGACCTCTGAAATGTAGATGATTGGTTCCTGCCTTCTCAGGACCCATATTATTTTCTATTACTATCAGAAATTTCTTCATCAATTTCTAAATAATGGAGAGATTTTGTTTCCTCCCAATAGGTACTCATTAAGAGGTACTCTGAATATCTGTGTAATTTATAATCAGAAAATAGGCTAGTTAAGGTTGACTTGTCACTGTCCTGTTGGTTTTCATGTGTTTATTTTGAGTAACCTGAAGACTAGTACTCCCTCAGTATAAGATCTCATAGGAAGAATTAAAGCTACTCATTTCTTATATAATTGTATACCTCACTTCATAAATTCAAGTTAAGTTTTAGTTTTTATTATTCATTCAAGGTTTTAATTTTCTAACAGGCCAATTCTGTGTTTCCTTGAATATGATTAATGTCAACAAAAAGGGATATCATTCATTTTATTTAGTGTGGATACATTTGATGGCTCTATTTTACATGCATTGTCAGTAAAACTAAGCGCACAGAATATGCATTTTTACTTTATATCTTTGATACAAATGTCTCATTGATAATAATATCTCCTAAAACTAGTATATCCTGTAGATATGTAGAGTATTTCAGGCTATTACAGCATAAAAATTTATATATTTCACCATTCCTCATAAATAGGAAAGAAATATTTAAAGAATCATATCTGGAGAATTTTTCTAAACAGTATCGTCTGTTTGTCAAGGGGATGGTGGACCTCTGGAATTGTATAAACGCATAGGCTTCTGTGTTTGCTTATCAGAATGTTCAGGGTAATTGATCATAAATTGTTGTTTATAGTCTGTGTGGCAGACTGGGAAAAACACCTGGGTTTTCCTCAAACCCTTTTTAGCACTCTGGTAATAGATCATCTGACCTTCTGAGTGCCCCGGCTCGCTGCAGGAGCCTTGACTCCGGAGAGCACACGCGTGATGGGGAAAGGAGTTAGCTCACTGTCTATTCCCACCGGGTCCTGCTGGCCTCCCTTCCCTGGTGGGGATGAAGAGGAGCAGGACCAAAGATGCCTCAGGTTTCTGGGGGTGGGCACGAGAGATCAGGGGTAAGAGGGAGGAGAAACAAGAATAATCCTGGAAAGGAATGCCTTTCATATTTATATATTTTATGCTGTAGTTAAGTACATGTTTCTCAGTTATACAGTTCTCTTGTTCTGACAAGCTTATAGAAGCATGGCACTTCAAATCTTAACAGCGTTCCCAGCAGTAGCGCAAACCACCCAGTGGAGTTCTGGAAGAAAAAAAAGTATCTTCTTTGCTTCATGGACATTTAATATTCTTTGAGTATGGCCAAAATGACTGCTGCTAATTCATTTTTAAAAATGTTTACATTAATAAGGGAAACAGCAGTGGTTTTAAATAAACTGCTTAAGTCGGTTTAAAATAATTTGTTACATATCTTTGACCAAATTAACTGTGAGCTTTTGCATTTGAATCAATGATCATAAAAGATGGTATGTCTGTATAATTCAAGGGACTGAAAGACCTGAAAAAGTTATCTATTTATTTTGATATAATTTCTTATATTTAAAAAAAGTCATCATAGTTTGGAGGCTTGGCTGAGCACTGGGAAACATTAAAACTGCAGCTAAGAAAATTAGGTTAATTATAATTCATTAGATGCTGTCCTTATTAAAAGTGAATTGATTTAATCCCTTTATATTAAAAGCCCTAAGCACAAGATAGCAAAATAGCTCTGTGAAAGCTTGGTGTTCTCAAAAATAATAAGGTACTACAGTCCTGTGTTTTTCAGACTTGAATGTACATGCGGATCACCTTAGATCTTGTCAAAATCAGGTTCTGTCTCAGCAAGTGTGGAGTCGACCTGAGAATCTGCATTTCTGACAGGTTCTCAAGGATGTGATGCTATTGTCCCGAGACTACAAAGGCTTATGTTAGCCTTTTCTTTCAGTTCCTTTGTCAGAAAATTATTAAGCCCTTGCTAATTAAAATATAACCATGATGAGGGATTACAAAATGGTGTAATATGATCTGCTATTCTAGACATTTATAAAACCTATTTTAAAGAGTTTTATTTTATTTTATTATTTTTTAATCCTCACCGGAGGACTTTTTTCCATTCATCTCCAGATAGAGTGGGAGGGAGGGGGAGAGGGAGAGAGGGAGACACATCGACTAGTTGCTTCCCACATGACCCCAATCAAGCCAGGGACCAAACGGCAACCTTGACTGGAATCGAACCTGTGACTCTTCGATCCATGGGCTGACACTAACCACTGAGCAAAAACGGCTAGGGCTTAAACAGTTTTATTAAGATATAATTCACATACCCTACAACGCATCTTTTTAAAGTGTAGAAATCAATGTTTATAATATATTCACAAATATATGCAGTCATACCACAATTGATTTTACATGTTTATCACCTCAAAAAGAAAAGCTATACCTGTTGTATCACCACACCCCATTGCCTCCCAGATCTAACCAACCACAGTTCACTTGGTCTCTACAGGTTTCTCTATTCTGGATTTTATAGGAATGGAATCATACAATATGCAGCTCTTTGTGACTGGCTTTTTTTCACTTAGCATAATCTTTTCAAGGTTCATTTATACACGGGATGTGTCAAACTTTTCTTAATTTATTTTCTTTATTGGATTTAGAGAGAGAGGAAGGTCGAGAGAGAGAGAGATAGAAACATGGATGAGAGAGAACATCGATTGGCCGCCTCCTGCATGCCCCCCACTGGTGCATGGATCGACACTCAACCACTGAGCCACACCGGCCAGGCAAATTTTCCTTAATTTTTAAGGTTAAATAATATTTTGTGTTATGGATAAACCTCATTTTATTTATCAATTTTTCAGTTGCTGGACATTTGGGTTGTATCCACCTTTCAGCTATTACAAATAATACTGCTATAAATATTAATGTGCAAGTGTTTGTAAGTGCATATTTTTATTTATCTTGGGTATAAACCTAGGAGTGGAACTGCTGGGTTATGTGGTGACTCTATGTTTAATATTTCCGGAGCTTTTAATTTAAATAAATAAAAATAAAAAATATAAATATTTATATGGGTATGCATATGGATAGATATACATCTCACAGTTGTCTTCATGGTCAGGTGAATTTGAGAAACACTGCATACCAAAATTCTTTCAAGTAAAGCCAGGCAAAAGAGGAATCAGTTTATTTTGTTTAACCCAGGTTTCCTAACCATGTTTGGAAATCTTTGAAAGTGAAGATTGATGCCATTGTAATTAGCTAATTATTAATAATAGGAAAGACACAAAGGGAAGGCAGATATTATAGGCGTTAATTTGGGCAGCTTCACCAGGAGGCTACAGCTGTACACCCCCCAGGGCTCCGACACAAGGGAAGATAGACACGTGCCCAGTGAGCTGCAGGGGACTAGTGAAGGTGCTTGCTGTCGGTCACACCTGGGGACAGAAGCCATTGGCCAGAATGAGCATACAAGCTCTTGGAAAAGAATTCCCTGAACAAAGAAATGCTCTCTCTTGGGCTCTTGGTTCTTCTTGGCACATGTGGCTCATGGCTCATGCCTGGCTCCCTGGCATTCTCCTGTGTGACCCATGGCCATGTGGACCCCACCCAGCTGGACCCAGCTTCAAAATGGAATCGGAACTCTGGATACTGGCTTTGCTTCTAGC